TTTGGTTTGAATAAAAATTAGTTTTGTAAATAAAAAATAAAAATGGAATTCATTTGTAAAGCCTGAAAACATAACTAATGAACAGAGGAAATGTTAGTTCAGTGCCAGGAAGGCCTGCATTGTTTATTCTGGACCCTATTTTGAAACTGGAATATTTTGAACTTTGCATTAAATTTGCCAAATTACCAATTTCCCATCACTTTATTTTGTAGTTTAAACAGTTGACTTGGCGATTTCATGTGCTCAATCAATTGAATAAAGTAATACTAGTGAAAGAGCTAAGAATTTGGTCGACTGGAATAACGTAACTGGCGTAAAATGGGAGTCGAAATCGGCAAAATCACCGATGCATAAATATCGCTGACACATCAAAATTCGCGAGCATAATTTCGTCAATTTTCCATCAAATTTTGTACGTTTTGTTTTATTACCTTCAGAAAAGGATTCTCTACCATTTCATAAGAAAAAATTATAAAATTATTTTTTGAAAATTCTTGGACACTGGGGCACACTTTGAAATTTGGCCTCTGGACCTGGGGGGGGAGGGGACCCAACTCCAGGCTCTGCTACCTGGGATCCCCTCTCCCTGGAGGTTACCTGGAGGTTGTTCCAGGGATCAACGCCCCCGTGGCCTGGTCCATGACCAGGCCTCCCGATGGATCAGGGCCTGATCAACTAGGCTGTTACTGCTGGCCGCACGCAGTCCAATGTACGAGCCACAGCCTGGCTGATCCAGCACTGATTTTAGGTATCTGTCCAGCTCTCTCTCGAAGGCAGCCAGGGGTTTATTGGAAATTTCCCCCTAATGTTGAGGGGAGGCTGTGAACAGTCTTGGGCCCCGGCACTTAGGGTGTTTTCCCTTAGTGTACCAATGGCACCCTACTTTTAATTGGGGCATTTTGCATCGCCCTGCCCAGTCTTTTACTTTCGTAGGGAGTTTTTTTCTGTGTGCAGTTTTTGGACCATTCCTTCCAGGATTTTCCAATGTAGATTACGATATATCAATCCCTCCTGCGTTCCAACGAGTACAAGTCAAGTGCTTCCAAGCGTTCCCATAGTTAAGGTGCTTGACAGAACTTATACGTGCAGTAAGGATCTCTGTACACTCTCTAGATCTGCAAAAACACCTGCTTGAATGGAGATTTAATGTACAGCAGTATTCCAGTCTAGAGAGAACAAGTGAATTGAAAAGGATCATCATTGGCTTGGCATCTCTCGTTTGGAACGTTCTCATTATCCATCCTATCATTTTCTTTGCACTGCGATTTGTGGGACTGTTGTGATCCTTGAAAGTGAGATCCTCAGACATTTACTACTCCCAGGTCCCTTACATTATTTTTCCGCTCTATTGTATGGCCAGAGTCTGTAGTATACTCTGTTCTAGTTATTATCTCCTCCAGTTTTCCATAACGGAGTAGTTGGAATTTGTCCTCATTGAACACATATTTTTTTACCGTTGCCCACTGGAAAACTTTGTTTATATCTTCTTGGAGGTTAACCCCGTCCTCACAGATGACAGCCTCATGCAGATCCTAGTATCATCCGCAAAGGATGATACGGTGCTGTGATGTATATCTCTGTCTATGTCTGATATGAGGATGAGGAATAAGATGGGGGCGAGTACTGTGCCTTGTGGAACAGAGCTCTTCACTATGGCAGCCTCCGATTTAACTCTGTTGACCACTACTCTTTGTGTTCGATTTGTTAGGAAGTTGAAGATCCATCTCCCCACTTTCCCAGTTATTTCTTTAGCATGTATTTTATGGGTTATTATGCCATGATCGCATTTGTCAAATGCTTTTGCAAAGTCTGTGTATATTACATCTGCATTCTGATTTTCTTCCAGTGCATCCAAGGCCATATCATAGTGATCCAGTAGTTGTGAGAGGCAGGAGCGACCTGCCCTGAACCCATGTTGCCCTGGATTGTGCAGATTTTGGGAATCCAGGTGATTTGCAATCCTGCTTCTTAGCACTCTTTCAAAGATTTTTATGATGTGGGATGTCAGAGCTATTGGTCTATAGTTCTTAGCTAATGCTTTGCTGCCACCTTTATGGAGTGGAACTATATCCGTTGTTTTAAGTGACTGTGAAATTTCACTCATGTCAAAGCTCCTCCTCCATAGTGTACTTAGGGCACGCGAGAGGGATTTCTTGCAGTTCTTAATGAAAACAGAGTTCCATGAGTCTGGGCACGGGGCTGAGTGCAAGGGCATGTTGTCAATGGCTTTTTCAAAATCTATCGGAATTATACACAACTACTTAGTTATCTATCGGAGTTAGGGTAATGTCGGAAATCTGGCATACATTTATGGATTTTTGAGGCTCATTCATGAAGAAATCATTTGGGTCATCGATCCTCAGACTGATTAGTGGTTCACTAAACACAGGGGCCGTACTGGGAATTCAATATTTCACTCATTTCCTTGTTGTCATCTGTGTAAGTCCCATCCTGTCTGAGTAAGGGCCCGATACTAGATGTGGTATTTGCCTTGTTTTTGGCATATGAAAAGAAATATTTTGAATTTCTTTCAATTTCACTAATAGCTTTAAGCTCCTCCTGTCTCTCCTGGTTCCTGTAAGAGTCATTTAACTTAAGTTCGATAGTTTCCACTTCCCTGGTCAGCGCCTCCTTTCGTGTATCAGATATTCTAGCACACCTGAGGAGCTCAGTGGCTCTTCGTTGTCTTCTGTAGAGGGAGCGTCTTTCTCTCTCCAGTTTACTCCTGCTCTTCTTCTTTCTTACGGGAATATGCCTAGAACATGCTTCAGCTGCCAGGAAGTTGATCCTTTCAAGGCACTGGTTTGGATCCATGCCATTTAAGATATCTTCCCAACATGTTTCGTTTAGGACATGGTTTACCTGGACCCAGAAAGGGTTAATCCACGACAATCATGAATTAAATTAAGAAAATTTTTAAACTTACAAAAAAAAAAAAATGGTTAAACCAAGGTATGGGTGGGGTTAGAACACACGGCAAACGAATTGTAAAACTCCAGGCCAGTGCGTAAGCCACTAGGCTAGCTGGCTACAATAAGGTCCACACAACTAGGTATATTTATGATTCACTTGCCCTGAGTTCCAACCCCACCCATACTGTGGTTTGTTTGGAATCATGTTGTTATGATTTCATGAGTCATGATGACAGCTTTGAGGGGACTTGAGCTAAAGTTCGTCATGGCCACACTGGTGGGAGAGTCATCTGTAAAAACTTGCAATTGTGGTCACAGTGGGGTCCTACATTCTTATGTTCTTATGAGTGGGAGGGGTTGGTACTGAGGGTGTCACACCAGGTAAGAACCAGGAATAATGGATTTAAGTTGGATAAATTTAGATTTAGAAAGGACATAGGTAAGTACTGGTTTTCTAACAGAGTTGTGGATGCGTGGAACAGTCTTCCTAGTGGGGTGATGGAGGCTAGGACCTTGGGTAGCTTTAAGAAGAGACTGGACAAATATATGAGTGGGAGGGGCTGGGTTTGATTGGTGTCATGGGGTACGGGAGTTATTTCTTGGGTAGCTTTAGGTAGATGTCGTTGTGATAAGGACCTGCCTCGTATGGGCCAGTAGGCCTTCTGCAGTGTTCCTACATTCTTATGTTCTTATGTTCTTGCATCCCTATGGTGTATAAATATACTTAGCTACATGAATCTTATTGTAGCCAGCTGGCCCAGTGGCTTACGCACTGGCCTGGAATTTTACGACTCACTTGCTATGGGCTTTAACCCCACCTGTAATGCGTTCTGTTTGAAAGTGTGTTATGATTTTGAGAGTCATACATGGTTAACCCTTTCACTGTCCAGATCCCCAAAACTAAGTGTTCACAATATATACATTAAAAAAAAAATTCTTCTGAAATGGTAGAAAATCTTTTCCTGAAGGCAATAACACCAAAAATACAAAATTTGATGGACAACTTATGGAATTACTCAAGGCCAAGTTAGCGGTCAGGGCACACTTTACACATCACCAACATTAAGTCCTATTCTAAGCCAATTCCAGTGCTCAATTTGACCAAATTCTTAGTTATTTTGCTAGTATGCCTTCTATTCTATCAACTGAGTACAAGAAACAGCCCATTCAACCATCAAAACTACCTATAAAGTGCACAGAATTTGGTAATTTGGCCACTTTTATACAAAATAAACACTAGACATTCCAGGCACTAAAACTACCTTTGCTCTGTGCAATAACCAAATTTCCAATCCTCTCCTATATTATACTTGCATTCCATTTTTAATTCATCACAAAAAAATCACAAAGGCTTACCCTATTTCTTGGATAATAAGGATCATGGCATCCTAATAATCGAATCAGATCAAGAAAAAGCCCATGAAACAGACCTCGGGTGTAATGAAGGCCTGACCCATCATCAGGAATACTGGCAAAAATCATATATTTCTGCTACTTTGAGACTGATTTCAAGCTACTTTCAGCTATGGAACCAACTAAAATCATCTTTATTTCAGTAGTATGTCTTCTATTCTATGAATGATACATAGAAGCAGCCAATTAAATCATAAAAACTATCCTAGAAAATACCTCGAAATCAATATTTTAAACCAAACACGTGGTCAGATTTTCGCTTTTCTCATCAAGCACTGTGTAAGGCAGAATTATTTTTATATTGTGCAAACTCAACACACAGACCCATTATCTCATTTCTTGGCCAAAATTTACCACGTTTACAGCTTATCTCTCTGAGTTTAGCTCATGATGTAGATCTACATGACTGACCCTGCTGTCAATGTAGTTCTACATGACAGATAGTCACAGGGTTAATCTCAGACTACTATATGACACGAGTCAATCAACAATTAAGAAATTACAGAAAACATGTTTGATTCTGAATCTTTAAAATACAATATCTTATTTACATCACCAGACTACACAAAATAATAAGCAACTTAAAACATTTTTGCTACTAAACTTCTTTAAAATAATATATAAACAGTGTTCAACAATATTAAGCATGAAATTACAAATTAATTTGTGGTTTACCTGAGGCTGAGGTTGTGGCTGTCCCTGTGGCTGGGGCTGTGGTTGAATCTGGGGCTGCATTTGCGAGTTAGTCATCTGGGCAGGATTGACAAGACTGGGGGGCTGTAAGGCCTGGGTTATGGGTGGCTGACCCATGAGGCTGCTTCCTGTTGTTGGTTGACCTATTGTCTGCTGGGTGATGGCAGGCTGACCAAGTGTTTGTAAACCCCCTAAACCTGGTGGCTGAATCATGCTTTGTTGAACAGGTGCATACTGTGGTTGCTGAGGAGCACCACCCAGCACCAGTTGTTGACTTGGTGCTGATGGGTGCTGGCCCAGGAGAGATGGCTGCAGCTGTGGGGTTGTCTGCGGCCTCTGCTGCCATGGTGGAGGTGCTTTTCCACCACCAAACTGTGCCATCCTCCCTCACCTGAAGATGTATCAATAAGCATTATGATGATAGTCATAACTACCTTGATTATATTAATCAAGGTAGTGATGCAGCACATCACAGATAAAATTTACCTGTAAAATGTCTCTTCACACCCTGGAGCAGGTATGAGCTACAAGAACCAGATACTGTATTTTTTTATATTCAGCCTCTCCTCACTTACAATCAGCTCTCCACCCAGTATGCAAACCTAAGGATATTAGAGCTGATTTCCTCTATTCTGTGTATTACAGTACACAGCGCACTACTGTACAAACATTTTAAAAATATACTAAAAATTTTATAAATAGTGCAAAGGTGACATTAAAAAAATATCTAAAGACAGTTGACACAAGCCCACTACCAGTACAGTAAGCTCTTAGCTTAACGACCAATTCACTTACCGACCTACTCTTAGGAACAACTCCGTCGTTAAGTGAGGAGAGGCTGTACTGTACTATATATTAACTCTATTAATAGTTATTTAATTTAATTCTGATCTTATTCTAATATAATAATTAAGAATATGACATGCATAAAGGGATAAAAAAAATCCATAAAAAGCTAAAAAAAAAATTGTGCTGAAAATAAATAACCAAGACAAAACTCAAAACAATGGATACAGGTGGGATCATTGCTATTTTTGAAAGGATATTAAAAAAAAAAAAAAATTGGTAATAGAGGAAAAGCGCGAGCCAGATGATCCTCCGTGAATGGGGGACAATGTCCACAGGTCTTGGTTGAAGCGGTTGTACCCTTGGTGGAGATGGGTATTGGTGTCTGTGTAGGTAAGACTTTTATATGGCAAGGGCAATAACCTTAAGAATACTGTAAATGATCAAGTCTGAGTGAAGGAAGCTGTGGCACTCTTCATCAAAGCTTTCTAAAGTCAATAAAGAGGTCTAGTGAGAATATTCATTATTTTCAGAGCTGGTGTGTAAAGTTTGTCTATCATTATTAGGGAAAGCCAATCATTGGTGTCTTGTTTCTTGCCATAGACACAAAACTTCGTTTGCTATCACCACTGTCTGACCCAAACTATGTAAAACATCTCAATGCACCATAAAGGCTCTGAAATCTTAGACTTAGTGCCTGGAAGATTCCAAAAGGCCCTTTTCTTCCAAACTGCTTCAAAGCTATTGTTTAATAGCCCTTTAATTTGCTTAATGTGATCTTGACAGTAATATATTATGTCAAAACAAATCCTGAAACATATTGTTTTTATCCAAATTATGTTCATTTGTTCCATTTTTCCTTCAAACTCCCGATTTATTGATTTACGTAAAGTTTGATAAGTCGACATCAACTGCTGTAATCTAAATTAACCACTATGGGTTATATAGAGGCCACTCCATAAAATACCTAAAGTCATACCTTAGCAACAGAACGCCTATATGTGTATGTAAATGGTTGCAGACTCTTCCACACAAAACCAATCTCAGGCGGAAGTCCCACAGGGAAGGTCCTTGGACCACTCCTATTTCTCTTTAAATCAACGACTACCAATGCATCACAGTCCTCAATCCTTTTATTTGCAGTGATATAAATACGTTCTTCTCTACACCAAACCCAGTCATTACTCAACAACACAGTTTATGCCGTAATTGCAGAAAATATCTGCCTGGTATGATGAATAATAAACTTACACTGAATACTGACAAAACCTGTTCATTCAGTTTGGAAACAAGATTGGCAAATGTTCTCTTAACATTAACGCTAAACAGATCACCTCACAAGACTTCCGGATGAGGAAAAATTTCTAGGAATCCACCTTGATAGTCGCTCAAGTTCCAACAACATACATGTAATCCTCAAAATATTGAACTTCTTCAGTCCAGTAGGTGTCCCAAGTGCCGTTACTGGAATGAATTTATTCCCATCAGGATTTATATGTAATTTAGATTAGCCCCATTTCTTACCCCTCAAAATTACATTATAAAAGCAATGTACAACAACATACACTTACATAATTGGTTTAGTTGGTGGCAGTTTCTTTTGAGGTTCCATCTGTACAACAATAACCAAGAAAATCTCTTAGACTGTAGCAAATTATCAAAGAAAGATACGGATTCCATGTTCCACAATCAGCTTCCTTGCACCGTATCTTCACTCATCTACCTTTATCTCACACATGGAATTTGTGAAGGGGATCAACAACATTAATCACTAAGGACCAACTAATAACTCAGCAAAAGGCAGCAGTCAGAAATGATAAAAATTTCCCACTCTGCCAGCATACTCCACCAATATCAAAAGTCTAAATCTACTCACCATGAGACATCCGACTTATTCATGTGCTATACATACATAGGAACAATACAGGCAAACATAATACCCTCCATCAAACTTTTTCTCGCCGTTCTTAAACAGACACACGGACCATTAACACAAGCCACAGATCTCTTTTTGATGTACCGCCGTGTCCCTATCACATATGGAGAACTCTATGCCACATAAAGGGCCAAAATCCCACTGAATTTCATTACCAGTAAATGCAAAGTAACTGGTCTGAAAATCAATTTAAGATTCTTCTTTAAAAGGCCACTTAATCACCTAGACTAATACTCAATATTTAACACTACTTTAAATCTACCAGTTACCTAAAACTTCATGATAGACAACAAGACTCATATATTGACAAAATGACCACATAGAAGTGTATATACCTACCAAAATCCGTATTGCACTTCACCAAATTGTAGCAGTCTTTTCTGTAAAACTACTCTGAATCAGTTTCTTAAAAAGCATTTTTGAAGTACTGAATATATCCTTTGGTTGTATAAATTAGATTCACTATTATTAATAAGAACTATCTTGTTACAACTATGATAATATCTTTAGTGATTATGTAGTCAGTAAAGCCATTTTAAATTAAGTCGCCATAATGCACAAGGCATATAGAGGCTCTCTTTGCACTACAAACCATCACTGTAAAATATAATCTCAATGTACTACTTGCAAAGGAAATAAATGGAATCCTGAACCTGAATATACTTTATACCTTCTCAATCATTATTTTGCAACTTGTGGTTGTAATTTACATAGTCACTATAAACTCGATAAACTTATTGTGATTTTTTGGTATGATTAATCGAGCAAGTTTTAAGATAGTTATATGTTAATGCTTCTTGCTCAAGAGGCTATGACATTAGCACCAACTTGCTTTAGTGATGATTATGGTGAATACATATTTTTGCTAATTTTCTTACTGTAAAAAACCTTAAGACGCCTATAACAATCGGTGCCATTTACGGATACCCCACACAAAACATCCACATTTCCTGTGAGAATATTAAAAAGGCACTAATAACAAACAGACAATGATAAGCAACCACCTTTCTTAGCTGGAGATCTTCACACATAAAACCTTGGCCTTACTTAGATGATCAGCCTGTTACTGATTTCATCATCAATATGAAACAACACATCTCATACCAACAATAAACTATACAACAGGCTCCACTGAAACAAGTGCAACCAGAATAGACCACATATGGACCAATATACTAGCCCACTTAGATCAGGATAATCACATTGATAGCACTACGGACCACTATCCTACCTTCCTCTTGCACATACATGGTAAACACAATTGAATACAACAATGTGTACATTTAGACTCCATGTTGAGCCTCATAAGGAAGTTCACGCTGGACCTAGAGACTGTTGACTGGCCTAAAGAATTCTCCCAAGGCCAATGGTATTGATGACTGGACAGAACCACAACACAAACATTTTTCTTAACAAATTACTTAGACTATAGTACAACAATCATTGTCCTATATAAATCGGAAACAGTTATCACGAAATAATTGCTTGGTTGCCCATGGCTAACCAGCCACCATTCTGAAATCCATTGACAAGAAGAAATCACCACCATTATGAAAAGGCAACTATCAGACAGGGCTTAAATACCCAAAGATATTCTTAAACACTATTACAGTTCTCACCAAGGTAATTTAAGAAAGCCAAACAACTATACTACTCCAGTAAGATTTTCACTGACACAGAGGAGATATAAAAAGACCTGGAGAAACCCACTCTCAGATCCAGGACCCATCATACTGGAAAAAAACAAGAATATTGTCCTAACTTAATCCTAATGAAACACCTCTGCATCCACTTGACACAGCTACAAGATAAACGAGCTTTTTCTCAACATAGGTTCTAATCCTTGCCAATAAATTCCCAACGCACCAATGACCATGCGCGGGATTACCTAGATGGGAATTTCCCAAATTCCTTCTATCTTGATCCAATGAGCCCAAGGAAGCCACGAGTTTATAAAAGTCACTTAAAAATAACTCAGGGAATATGTATCATGTCCACCATTATTGTTACAAGTGAGCCAGCAATGTCCTCTCGCATGCTATCTCATTACTTTTTATCAAGTCACTAGAAACTAGCACCATTCCCATAAATCTAGCAAGTCGGCCTGGTTCACCAAATACACATAAAAAGGTAGGTGACCCTACAGATTTAAACTACTAGAGGCAATATCAAACTACATTGCTATCCAAATCTTTGAGAAACTCGTGCACAGAGACTTATTCATTTATAACGGCACAAAAACATCTCAATCCCTGCCAACTTTGGATCGAGGAAAATAAATGCACCAACAATGCAATCATTAAAATGCTAGATCTGCTTTACACATGCATTGGAAAATAAGAAATATCCATAGGAATTTTTTATTGAACCTAAGAAAAGCTCTTTTTGGACACAGTAGGACCATGGCATCCCTACTCCACAAACTTGACATTTTGGTTAAGAGGCCATGCACTTGATATTTCAAATCTTACCTTACTAATAGGTATCAGTATGTTTCACCTTAAGACACAGCATCTAACAAACTCAGCCACTTGATACTGGGTTCCGCAGGGTAGTGTACCTTGGTCCCGTGCTCTTCCTCTTTTACATCAATTATTCTTCAAAACGTTTTGTCTCACACTGAACCCATTCTCGTTGCTGACGACCGACTTATGTCATCTTCTCACCCT